CGCTGTGCTACTCCTCAGATTAGGGAAAGCCGAGCCTTCAGCCGGGCTGGAGCGAGAGATCCGCGGCTCCCAACTCTCCGGGCTGCTCCAAATGCGAGGGATGTGGGCTAGGCGCGCGGAGAATCGGCTCGGCGGCCACCGGTGCGGCTGCGGCTGCTGCTTCTACTCCTACCGGGCAAAGGGGATGTGAACTCCCAGGAGAGAAAAAAGAAGAAGAAAAAAAGAGAGAGAGAAATTAAAGAATGACTAGGATTGCTAGGGATGTGAACTCCCAGGAGAGAAAGAAGAAGAAAAAAGAGAAATTAAAGAATGACTAGGATTGCTACGCTTGCTATTCTTTTGCAGCTGTTGCGGACGAGCGGAGGGCAGGGGTTCGCAGGTAAGGGACAGCGTCTCTCTCCCCCCCCCTTCTTCCCCAGCGCACCCATTCCCGAGACCTGGAGGAGGGCGACGCTGGGTTTCGAACTTGGCCAGCGCTTGGGAAGGTGACGAGGGGTCGCCGCGGTCCTTCCGCGCGCGCGTAGCTTCCCTACGCTGGTTCTTCCTAGATGGTTAAGTTTTGGGGTGAGTGGGTTGCAGGTAGAGGCGTGGGGTTGGCTGGGTGTAACGTCTCGGGTTGTCGGGGGAGGCTTTTGTACTTGAGTAAGAATCTCAAGGTAGAACCTTGACGTAGGCGATACACTTAATGGATCTTGGCTTTCCCTTACGTCCGTGTAAACAATAAGAAGGCCGATGAGGCGGCACCCAAGTGCCCGCTGACCTGGGAGTACGTCCCCTTGAACTCATCGAGGCTGATTTCTTAATAAACCTATTGAGTCGAAGGCTGCCTACTTCCGAGCAAACCCCGGGCGGGCAAGCGTTTGTAGAACTGCAGTTTTCGGCTGTCTTCAAGTATATGGACGAGGGCGGTATGTGAGGAATGTTTGCGGCTTCACAAGGCAGCTGACAACAAATTGTGTAGCCTTCTCAGCCTGGGAGAAGGAACTTCCAAATAAGCTCTCCCTGTGTGTAGGCTTTTTTTAGTTTCCCTTATAGAGGTGTCCTTCTGAGACTCATTTCCTTAAATGTTATGCCATCTATGACCCTGAAGGCATCTCCTCATTCTTGGTGTCAAGATGCTCCAGTCCTTTTTATAGTAAACAGTTGGTCTGCATCAAAGAAAAGGGAGGAGGAACAAGTATTTCAAAAATGTGTGACATCCACATATGAAGTTCTAATGTACCTTGGGTTGAAATTTGGACAGCCTATTTAGAAGCTCCTTGGGTGACTTCTTTTTCCTCTCCCGAAGTTCAGTACTAGATCTTTGGGTCACAGAGCTGAAATAACTTTCTCTGGATGGTTCACAACTTTGGGCTTGTTCTTTCACACTTGTCAAAATCTGAGGGAGATTGCGTCTAGGAACACATCCAGCTAAAAATTAGAAAACCTTTCGAATTTCATTCCCTTTGTTTTTCAGTTGGAATTCCCAGTATAGCTTAGTGGCTTAGTTATTGGGTTGTGGAGCCCGAGGCTGGGAGTTCAATTCCCTATTGTGCCTCCTTGACAGGGGCTGGTCTCAATGATCCAGAGGGTCCCTTCCAGCTCTGCAGTTCTAAGATTGCTATTATTAATAACATCAGACTACATACTGAAATTTAATTCTAATAACTCCCACCTTTCTTATTATATGGTACTCTTCATGTGCTTCCATTGTCCTACTTTGAAAAGTGTGTATGTGCAGAAACATATTTTTAGTCACCTGAATTGAAAAAAAGATCTATTTCAAGCTAGATACTGAAGATTAGTGTTTAAAACATCTGCATTGTTTCAAACCTATATGCAAGATATAGCTTTTTGTGCAAATGAGTATGATGTATCATTGGGACCATCTGCTCCTGGAAACTCCAGGCTGATCAAACTTTTACAAACAACCCTCTCTTGTTAAGAAAATGCTAGGGAATTCAACACTTCTGTTCTCCTTTCCTACACATAGCTGTATTAGGAAACACCAGGAATGGGGAGATCACTTTTGAGAAGCTTAAAACGAACTCTTACATTTTAGTATAAGTTTTCAAGGAAAGTTTATATAGAAATAATAGGCGTGGAGGTAGCCCAGTTAAGTTCTGTAAAGCACAGAGTGATATACACCATGCACTCTTTAGAGTAATCAAGATGCTATGTTCCATCTAGGACTTGAATATATCTTTAAATTTAGTTTGAAAACATCAGTAGCTAAACTTGTTGACCCTCTATGATGAGGAAGCATCTTACTGTGGAGTTCTATACTAGTTTACTCACAGGCAAGTTCCACTGACTTCAGTAGGATTTACTCCAAGGTCACTGGGTATAGGACTGCAACTGAAAACATCCTTTCCTCTATCTGTCACTATTGTTTTGAAACCAGAGGTTTTCTGAGATGTGTAAATTTCACAGGAAGTTATTCTGTGCCCAATATAATGATCCTAAACATATCAACTAAGAAATAAATCCTGTTGCTGTTCAGATGTGTACTCCATGCAAGGAGCTGTTTACATAAACTCTAACTTTATACATGAATCTTGACATGTTTATAGAATTTTCTTCCTTAATTATTAGCTTAGAATTGCAAATGATATTGTATATGTGGTCACACTTATAAGCTAATTTACATGGCACTGGGTTCCAGTGGAACCAAGCACTGGCAAAATGTGCATATATTTGTTGAAGGTGTTCTGCAGGACATAATAGGGATATATCTCCTGTCTGGATGGGAATAAGAGAAACAACATTAAGGACAGAGAAAGGGAGCTGATGAATATCACCAAACAACAGTACTGTGTTTTTAAATCTGAGTCTCAAAACAAATCTCCAAACTTTATATGGCAAGAAAAGAGTGGGATACAGACAGAACTTGAGACATAGGAGAGGCCAAACAAATGCAATTATAAAATTAAAGTGATTGGGTAACAAGGATTAGCAAATGGGTCAGATGCTTCCATTATCACTGTTTGTTAAGGAAGAAAGCCAGTATTTACTCCCTGTGCTGGCTTTGCTGCTTTGAAAAAAAGAGAGATAAAGGCATTTTATTTATATGAATAGACCTGACTTGGTGAGACATTTCCTCTGATAAGGTTATGGCAAGTGTTGCACCTTTAATTTTTAAGATTCCACAGTCACCAAAGACTTAATGCCCTGCAACCGATTTTCAGAGCTGATGCTCAGAAAATGAAAGCCAAGATGGAGAAAAACTGTTGAAGAACTCTGCACCTCTGTGATGGATTTTTACGTTGAACCCTATGAAAGCTTCCATCTGTCACCACTAATGTACTTCTCCTGTTGCCCATCAGATGGTGCTGCCTTCACAACTATTAGAACACAATTGCTTTGCTACTGAATTATGTTTTCAGTCGCTTTATGTCTTCTGTCAACATTTCCAGTGCACCCACTTTTTGACACTGACTGCTGGAGTTTTGTTATTGTTGGCTGGGAAAAGTAAAAGGTAGCTCAGAGTGTTGTACAAACGTGAAAAAAATAAGATTTAAGAGTTGATTTCATATTTGAATCTTTGTCGAGGTCCTGTGTTTACTTACCTGAATGGTGAGACCTGTTTCAAGAGGTGCCCATGGAAGTAAAGTGGGCAGCTGTTAGGGAAAGGGTTTTTTTTTTTGGTAGTGGCTATGGAGTAGCCACTCACAGAGGCTCTCATGGTTACCTTTGAATGGGCTTTTTAGCATCAAGTGAAATTCTGTTTTTAAGGCCAGGCTGTATATTTATCCTACCTCTTGAGTACTTGCGTATGTATTTCATTTTAGTTTTTTTTCTCTGCTAGAAATGTTTATGCTGCAACAGTATTCATAATATTTTAGACAGTTTTGTCTTCATGAGCTGCTCAGAGAATTGTGTTACAAACAGCAGAGAAATAAATGCTATGTTATTTCTTGCAGAATGGGTAACAACACTCAACAGAGTTCAGTAATGCTATCAGTTGCAGCTGCTAGTGAATTTGGGGCAAGTTTTAATGGCAGAATAGTGGGATCCAGCAAAATCAGGAAGAGCGACTCTCCCTCTCTCTTTTCAAGCCTACCAGGAGACCCAAAACCAATTCAAGTGCCCTGAGAAACCCCCTGGAGTCAATTTGCAGCTGCGATAGTGGCTTGCATAAGCAAGGGGAGGGGAAGAAAGCACTATTCTGAGCTACAATGATGAACTGAGCACTTGGGGGCTAATTACATGTTACATAAATTTCATGGTCTGCAGCCAAATTAGAAAACAAATTATAATCCTAATGTCAAAGGGGACCATTTGCAATGCATGGGGATGGGAGTTTTAACCTTTTCAACTGCAGGCATAATCCAGGTCAAAAGTACTCTCTTCAACTGCAGGTAGCAGTAGATACACCTAAACACCCTCCCATACCCGTAGCTTAGAGGTTAGGTGAGTTCCATTGGGAGTGAACCTGAAAAGGGGAAGTGTAAACTTCCACCCTGTCTTGTGCACTGCTGTCCTGATGGGGCGTGTTCCTCTGTCCTTAGGACTGAAATTTTAAAATCTCATGATTTGACTGTAAGCTGTGAAAGTAGTGTAACATGGTTAGAGCCTAACACTATTCCTCAGACACAATGCGTGCAGGAAACCTTTACCACCAAGGCTTGTTTACTGAGGAAGTTCTGTGTTGCAGAGAGCTTGGTGGTAAATTGTAAGGCCACTTGTCCAGGGCACAAGCATGATCTGAATGTAATGTTGTAGGAAGCATTAGAGGAAAATGTCTTTGCTGCTGTGTATTGGATGAGAAAGGTTGACAATTAGAGATGGGCTTATTCGTATATGAATACAAATATTCCTGCATTAGAGATGGGCTTATTCGTATACGAATATTCCCGCACAGGTGGAAATAATAAGGGTGAAGCACGAAACCCACAGCTTAAAGCAGCCAACCACTGTTTATGAAGGAAGGTGCACCTCTTTTTCAGGGTAGTCCATCCCATTCTCCAAGCAGTTTATTCACATTCTTTAGCAAGTGGTACAGCTTTAGTTTACAACTCTGTTCAATTTTTATGTAGGTGTGCCGATGGCTACTGACCATGATAGATTTTCACCATGAATTTACCTATTTGCCTTCCAAAGAGCAGAAGGGCAATTATGTGGCTGTTTAGATGTTTCTGGATTGCAGTTCCCATGATCCTACATCATTTGCTAGTCTGGGTGGGGCTAATGGAAGGCCAAAATAATCATCATCATCATCATCATCATCATCATCATCATCATCATCATCATCATCATCATCATCTAGTGGTCCATTGTCTCTTCAAGGCACAGTGCGAAAAGGCAGTAATTTTGGTATTGTTTAACTTGTAACGCTGTGTTCCATGGAAGCAAGTTTGCAAATACTTGACTTAGTACTTATGGATAAAAACATGACCC